GCAGGCTGAGAAATGAGAAGCAGGTGATCGGTTTGTGTGATCGGCAACAAGAAACCGTGATCGATGATCACCAATCATACACTTTTTTATGGGCTTATTCATGTTAATGACAGGTGTTATGTCATGTTTATGAAAGTGTCATGTCAGTCTTATTCACCCCCTTCAAATAAAGTGTTACCATATGTTCTATACAAGTTTTAAACTGGGTGTAAACCATATCTCAGAGAAAAAAAATAATTCTTACTTGGGTTTTCAAACATGAAACAAGACTTGAAGAGCTTTTCATTCATAGAGTTTCGCTAGGGCTTCAGTCTGCTGGACATAAATAATTATTGGAAGAAATGTTGATAATTTGATGTTTTTCTATTTTGACCTAGGACTCTGAATCACCAGTATGACTACACATTTGACTGGACCATGCTGAAACAGAAAGCAGCACAACAAGGGGCCTCTTCAGGGGGCCAGGGCCAGCAGGCACAAACCCCCACAGGCAAGCAAACTGACAAATCCAAGCCTAACTTGAAAGGTTAGTAGCAAACAGCCAAGTGACGTTTTTTACCGACACCAATTGCTCATATATTCATTGAAGTTTTTTATGTAGAAAAGTAAATATTGTTTAAGTAAGTAACACATACCCCCATTATTCTTTTGAACATATACTGCCTGGCTCAAAAAAGTCATATGTCTGGGTGCCATTTACTTTTAAATAGCATATAGTGAGTTTAATATTTTAGTTTTGCATGGAGAAGTAATTGTTTTATGAATCCTAAAAATACTCCTTCTGGAAACGCATTACAGTGGGAAAAAATAGGAGCTACTAATTATTACATTTTGGATCGTTAGTGGTGTTTTGAGTGGAAGAAATTATTTTTAAAATATTGTGACTTCAGGAACAAGATTGCTATAGAAAAGCTCAGTTTTGCCTGGACAAAGTCTTTCTGTTTGATTAGTTTGAGTATAGCTTGTATTCACTGTGACCTTAAACAAATGGACTCAATAAGCATCGCTCAATAGATGAAAATCTTGAATCAATAGTTCATCTGTTTTGGTAATTCCATTCTGAAACTGGAAGTACTGCATAGAAATATTAAACAAAATGATTGCATGGTTTGATTATTGAAGGCCATTTTATGATTAAAATTGACAGCTAATGAAAATCCAAAATTCAGCAACATTGTGGGCTCTGGTTTCTTATCTTCCCCTTGACAAAAGCTCATAAGTTCTCGATTGTGTTCAAGTTAGACAGGTTTGCTGGCCCACCAAGCACTGTTAATAACATAATCTTCAGAGCAGGTATTAGGGTACTTGTAGCAGTATGGGCAGTTGTCAAGCCCTGCAAGTCCTAAAATGAAAATCAGTTCAATTTGTATAGTTGGTACATACATCTGCAGTAGAGGTGTGCCGATTGATTGGCCACCGATCATAATTGGCCGATTTCCGTGAAAAACTGTATGACCGTTGATCGCCAATCACTGTCTCATGTTGCCAGTCACCAAAACCGATCACCTGTATCTCAATCCGCAGCCTACGTATGCAGCTTGTCTCCTCTTTCCTTCACACTGCAAAGCACGCGGCAACAAATCCTAAGCGGTGTGGTGAGGAACTTTAACGCTCAGAGAGAATGGGGAAGTTTGGGTGTTGCGACGGAAAATTACCTCAAGTGTGAAGCACATCAAATTGCATCAACACGATAAATCTAATATGACATTTAAAAAACAAGCACTTGACGGAGTTTGGCTAAATCAAGGTTCACTGCAGGAAAAACAGATATCCAGAGTGATCAGACAGCAGGCAAAGCAATGCACAACTACCAACACTCACCTGGAAGGGCATGATGGTCATAAAACTAAACAAATGAACCGAAAAATAATTTAAGCCAAAGAGCTAGCTGTGTAAGACGCTGGTTCTGCTTTTGCTGTTGAACCACCGCTCCGGACATTTCACATCCAGAGTACCGTTTCTGCTTCACCAGACAGTGAACTCTCCCATTGAACATCTGCTTAAAGCTGCAGCATGTAATTAAACAAACAAAAGATTTTAAATATATATTAAAACTTTCGCTGTGTCCTAACATAAGACAGATAATCTCTGAAAATAACATCGATCTCCTCTGCCGCCTCCTGGCATTCTGCAGATTCACTCTGCTTGGTCAGAAACAGCCAATCAGAACCAGCATTAATCAGCTAGTCGTGCTCTCAGGAAATTTTGATTTAGTAACTCAGGATTGTTTATTTTGATGTTTCCTTTTTTACATTACATTATTTGATATCGGCAGTGTTGAGATTTATTTGACTCGTGTATAATTTAGGCTAAGAGCCTTACTGTTAAATATTATTTTACTGATTGCAGGTTTATCAGTTGTCCTTTTGACTGAATACCTGCTGCATTGTGCCTGCAAGTATTTTGCATGTTTTATGTTTAAATCAGGTGAATTTATTACCAGATGATTTTTTTAACTATACCAGATCACAAAGTAACATTTATACCTAACGCAAAAAATTAACAGCCAGTCCAGACGATCAGCAATGATTGGTGAACAGCAGTGATCGACCCTCATAGATAATCGGAATCGGTAGCAGAAAACCTGATCAGAGCCTCCCCAGTGATCCTAGTTATCAAGGACTTTCCAATTTTATTCATTTAGAAATTCTAAGGAAACCCAGCAGATTACCTTGACTTTGAGCATCCATGCCTCTGGATGAGCATGTATCACTGTATACTGTATACACAGTGTGTCATTCATATTGCAGCAGTCCCTCATTTTGAACATACATGTAGCAACAGTGAAGAGGAAACACTCAGGCTCTGAGTGAATTCTGACATCAGCATTTCTATAAAACTTCGAAGAGGGTCGTTGCACGAAGTGCTCTGAAATAATTTTATAGAGGACTATGCTGACTTAGGACTTTATAAAACGCAGTCAACCAAAATCAGCAGATGACATGGCTTAACAAATCCTCGCCAATTGTTGGAACTGCACATAGAACTTGAAGCATTGTGTATTCTGTGCTTCTTCACTCATCCTCCAGATTATGGGACCTTGATTTCCTTATGAATTGCAAACTTTTATTTGAAAAGTAATCTTTGAATCTTTGTTCCATCTAGATAGTTGTAACCCATGTGCTGGGTATATCTATGTGACATAACTCTTGACTCGACCTGGGTGAGATACCTTGGAATCTCACCCAAAACTCGTGAATGGCCTGAACACCACAATCCTAGGCTTATTCATTTAACTTTTTCGATCTCACTTTTTCTTCCGGTCGACGTCCCATTATCCTGTCTACAACCAGCTATTTTATTGAAAATATATTAAGGCTTAACCTCCTTGTGGAGGGTGTGAATGGTTGTCTGTTGGACAACCATCAAGTCAGCAGTTTTTTACTGATTGTGAGGTCATAAAATTCCTTGTAACTTTTTTTTAACTGGTGGGATATAATATTCAGATTTTCCCTAAAACTGAATTTTGGTTTTCTTTAGCTCTAAGCCATATTCTTAAAAAATAACTAGAAATAAAGTTCTGATCATTCTGTGTGTAAACAGAGTTTCACTTTCTGAATTGAATTATTGAAGAGGATAAATTAAACCCTACAATGCCATTCTAATTTAATTGTAACTGTAATGCCATATTCATTTCCATGTAGACTTGTTAACTTTGGAGCCATGAGTACATTTTAATTGTCCATTCCAAAAGTTCTCAGAACCTCTGCTTTGGATTCTGTTTGTCCAGTGTGTGAAACATGAGACCAAGCAGTTGGTTTCTTAAAGATAACAGTTCTATCCATTAATACTAACATTTTAAAATGATTTATTATTGCTTATTATAAAAGCTGAATTTTGCAGAGTATGCAAACATTTGAACATTGCAGAGTATTTAACTCTGCATAGTTTAACACTATGCAAATAACATCTAAGCTGCAGTTTAGTTATATAGTTTGACTGTAAAACCATGCAGTACAGAATGCAAGTACTTTGCAGTTCAAGTCAACTTGGACCGATATACAGTGATCCCTTGTTTTTCTTGGGGGTTGCGTTCTGAAAGTAACCCGCGATTAGTGAAATCCACAAAGTAGTTACCTTTATTTTTTTACAATTATTACACAGCATAATTAAGTACTCTACATCGAAACCAAAGAACAAAACTTGCTTTCAGATCAGCGGATATGTGTGTTCATCAATCGGGCCTTAATGTGATCCTGAGTCGTGTCATTAAAGCGTCTCCTCCAAGCTGCCCCAGAGATTCACAGCTGTATCTACGGCAGAGCGATGGATCTGGTCAAGCGAGCCTCCGGTCGGGTTTTGCGCTGCCTCTGGCCACAGATTTTTCCAGCAGGCATTCAAAGTTTTCAACTTTCATCTCCTGAAAGGCCAATCTGTATTACTTATATTTAAATACCGTAACGTTATTGGCACACAGGTAGCGAAGGAGCTCGGAGACTGTTTAGCCAATCAGGACGCAGGACAAAATGCACTGTGAAAAAAACTGCACAAAAAAAATCCGCGAAGCAGCGAGACCGCGAAAGGTGAACCACGTTATAGCGAGGGGTCACTGTATGCAGTATTTAGAAATGTCTGATTTTAATGTACAACTTATAAATGTAGCTTTTCTGCATGACTGGCAGAAAAGCTACTAAGACGTACTGTTGTATTCCTAATCTGCTTTGAAAACTAATGAAGTTAATGAAAACATTATTTTAGTTAAATGCTATCAGTCAAAGCATTAATTAATGCAGTAGTTTTCCTATGGCATGCTCCTACATGCTTAAATAAATCCAAATACTGACTTTTTTGGGCCAGGTGGTATATAACTAATAATAATTTTGCCAAATTGGAAACACATTTTTCATTATTTTGGTCAAGACCTAATTTGTTGAAGCACTAAAAACCCTACCAAAAGTGTCTAGGAAAAAATGGTACAATTGGTCTGCCTTGCAGAAGCAAAGACGTCCTTGGGGAATTTGACTACTAACTTTGTTCCCTTATGTTGTTTTTATATTGGGGTTGATCAATGGGCTTTCTCATCAATGACATTGAGCTAATGCTTACAGATTTGATCTGATCTCAACCCTCTAATTCTGCTCTTTCTTTTTTAACATTTCCTCTCAAAACTAAGTAGTGTTAAAACAAACTGGACTATTTAACCTATTTTCTTGATGTCTATACTGTATTTAACAATGCCATTAACAAATACAGAAATCATTTGTTGTACAAGTAAGCACTTGTGGTCCTCATTTAGCTCGTCCTGTTCACCTCATTAGAGTTGGAATTTGCATATCTCTTTCTACCTGTGTAACTGATGTCATTATTGGATGAGATATGGGTCACCAGAGTATATGATCGGGTGTTGCCACTGACATTGTGACCAGTTTAGTTAGCCAGCCTGCACTTTGGTTAACAGATATACTTCTTTAGACTTTTAGCATGTCAACTTTACTTTCAAAACAAAGTGACCAGCTCAGCTAGTCTGCTGAAACATGAAAGGGAAGGGAAGTCCTTAGGTAGACTGACATTTTATTAAAGTGACTT